AAAGAGAAGATTTATATACCACTGTAAGTAATCTGTATAATACCCGCCACTAATGTGTATACTTATACTTTAATTATGTGGATATGTAACTCATTTCTAAAACTGTGGTATATGATGCTTAAATACATTTCTTTCCCGATATTATACATCTAAATTTTGAAGGGATGTATTCTATAACCCTATTAGTCAATGCATTTTTTCATTGCAATATCATTAGAATGTTTAATCTATTTATAACTCGATCGCGATCCTGCCGGAATGAATACATAAACGAAATCTACGTACACAATGAAAATCCTCATCAACCTCCAATTGATAATCATACGCTCCGACGGTATCACCCATCGGCTACAAAGGCAAACACGCAGGGTGAAAAAAAAAACATCTGGCAAATTGCGTTGATGCGTTGACGGATTTTTGCTCATGGTACGTGGGTGGCGGGCGGCGGGTGGGTGGGTGGGTGGGTGGGTGGGTGGGTGCGGTGGATGGATGGCATGCGGCGTGGCAGCAGAGACGGCGCGCCGCAGCGTTGCACACGTGACGGCAGCGCAGGCGGAGGGGGCGGAGGCGGCGGCGTGGCCGATGCGTGGGTGGGCGACGGATGCACAAGTACGAGAAGGCCGTAGAGGACGCAATGTCGCTTCCTCATAGAAGACGATTCGTTTCGCCGGCATTCACTCTCAACCAGCATGTTCGTGACTAGATCTCAAAATACTCCTTGGGCGGTTTCCTCGCATACACATTGTTACATATAAAAATAATATAAAATTAGGAGGTCTGCAGCAGCAAAAATGTTGCTGAACAACCCACAAAAAACTGTTTCCGAAAAATGACACGTATGCCGCTAAACCAAAATATTCTCTTATAACACAACAATAAATTAAATATTTTAACACAGTCTTCACACAAACTTCAATAACATACTATAGTACATATACAACTATTCTTTACGACCCAAGATATAAGAGACGATTCCAAAACGCAACAAATGAATAGCAAACTCTTAATGGCAGTCGGCTTCTTCCTTTGAGCCTTGCTTTTGCATGTCAGTTGTACCGTAAGCAGTGCAACATTGAATATGCGAATGCACTTGGTACGCTTGTACGCAGAAAACCCAATAAAATGTATGCATTGCTAATGGCGTAATTTCGCATAAAATACATGCACTTTGTAAACAAACATCGTTTTTTCTCAAAAACGGATTAAAATGTTTTCTTTAAATTTTTTATCGCATGCAACGAAGTACGATAAAAAAACGTAATGTGGCCACATTTTGGCCAACCCTGTAATTTCGAAAATTGCAAACAAAATTAAGACACCATAGCATAAGTACAATTATGAAGACAGATTTTTGTGTTAAATGAGAACTGTTCTAACGAATCAGATCTTTAAAAAACGAAATGTACAATTTTTGAAAAGAAGAGAAGTTTCTCCAAAATTCAGGTTGAAGTTAATGCTATTTATACAAAACAATTCTTTAAATTTTTCCACTGATAGAGTAAGGAACGCTTAAAAAATGACGCAGATCTCATTGACGTTGAACTCTGAAATTTCGAAAATTGTATATGTTAGAAATTGTGTAAGAAAATATGTGCTGTTGTAACAACACAAGTGTTTTTTAGTTTCTGGGCATTTAAAGAAACCATAGACACCTCTCTCATGACCGGAGGCTTTATAGTTTACTTTATTTTTCCACGCGCATCGGAAATTAGTATATATACATATTTGATGTTTAATTTATATTTATTGAAATATTTGGGACAATTTTTAAAAGCCTTGTATGCTATATACTACAGATCCGTTGGCTAGGCTAGACTAGGCTACCCTGCCCTTCTCGCCGAGCACCGCTGCATGTCGCATTTCCCTTGTCGCAGATTTAAGGAAATATTCAAGGGGGCCAAACGGGCCGTCATTAGTTTTGACATCAGTTCACAAAAGTTTCGATTGAACTAATAAAATTTCCTTGCACACACAAATAATTAAATGAATCGGGATATTTTTTGCTCTAGTTTTTGCATTGTCGCAGCGAAAAGTGGCGATTTTTCGGTAGATAAACTCGTTTTGTGGGGCCCTTATATCCAAAAAATGGATAAATCTAGTAGATCGCTTCCTCTAATACGCTTGTAATTAAAATCCCGTCCGTCAGGTTGTCCGATCTTTTGATCGTCCAATCGTTAATCCGTCCGATCGTTTGTCCATCCGCCCGTCAGCAGGGTTGCTGTTTAGTTTGAAACTAGTCAGAAACAAGTGGAATCAGTTCGTGCATTTTTCGACAAACTAGAAATTCGCGCATGCATACTACGGAACCGAGTACCTGCCATCACCCAACTTCGACGACGCGCCATTTACTTTTCCGTCAAGTTTTTGCATCGTAGTTTTGTGTTCTACTGTATATATTTTGACCTTGCATTGTTTTACATTTTATTGATTCCTGGTTTTTGTGACTTAACTTTGTTTCAGAATTTTCTTGTGGATATTGGAACTTGACTCTGCTTTGTTTTACGTTGATTCCTGGTTTTTGGTGACTTCGCTTTCTTTCGTATTTTTCTAGTGGATTTTGGAATTTGATATTTGTTTCTTTTTGGGGGAAATTAAAGGTGAGTAATTTTAAGGAAGTTCCTTGTACTTACAAAAAATAAATGTGGTTTTTTACCATTCTGTATTGTTAGCGTATTATTCTTACAGATTTGGATCGTTGTTTCTTCATTATTCTTGCCTTTTACTGACTTAAGAGATGATGATGTTTTATTTAGTTGTGCTGGGAATACTTTTTATATTAAACTGACTGCTAATACTTTTGAGTTTTTTATATTGTATTCTGTTTTACTTAGTATTCGCCCGATGTACTTGTTAGTTATTTGCATGCACTGTTATGTTTACTCCTGTACACAATTTGTAATTGTTCTTCTTCATACTTTAATAAGGAACGTTGCATTTACTTTTTGTTTATCCAGTACACTTTTGTTCTCATAAATTTGAAATGATGGTGTACAATAACATTCACTTTTTATTTATACTTGTTTGTACTGTTCTGTATTAACATTATTTTGTATTTGTGTATATGCTGTTTCTTTGAGTTTTTTGTACCTCTACTCCTCTCAACTTGGTACATTGTATCTGCCTGAGTAATCACTTTTGTAAAAAATTAATTATAAGTAAATTAAATTTATTTTATTTGTTTTATTTTATTTTATAAATTAATTTAATTTTTTTGTTTGCAAATTTGTATATTAAATGTTAGTATATCTGTATAGGTAATTTTCAACATATTTGCTTTGATTAAAAAACAATTATTGTCAAAAATATTACAGGCATGTAAATTATTGAATACATTTCAAAGTAGAAGTAATGCCCTGTATTTGGATGGAACTATTAGTTAAAAAGGATATTTTTGATAGTTTAAAAACTGAAGGACCGACGAATGTCCAGATTGATGCTTTGTGAGGACAGCGTTGGTAGGCCGTACGGCATCCGCGCCGAGATAGAGACACATGTAGCCCCCAACGTGCCCCCACACTCTGTTGGGAATCAGTTACTTGCCGCAGGATTTCAATCACGCATACCCGTAGCCCGACTGCCACTCACGCCGAACTGTCGTGGGTCTGGCGTGGAGCAATGTGCGGGTCAGCTAGGAGACGGAATTCATGTGCTTGCCCTATGAGGTGTAATGCCTCTACTACCAAACTTAACAAATTTCAATTAATTCAAAATAATCTCCTTTTCAAAATTCTACATCTTTCGTGGTTTATATCATATAAAAAAATCACATAGAACTTAAAGTTGATTATTTCAAATCGTTTGCACTTAACTTCACTAAAAGTTACAAATTGTGTAGCAATTACAAAGTGTGTACAGGAGTGAACATAACAGTGCATGCAAATAACCAACAAGTACAACGGGTGAATACTAAGTAAAACAGAATACAATATAAAAAACTCAAAATTATTAGCAGTCAGTTCAATATAAAGAGTATTCCCTGCACAACTAAATAAAATATCACCATTTCTTAGGTCAGTAAGGCAAGAATAATGAAGAAACAACGATCCAACAGTCTACCAACGCTGTCCTCACAATGCATCGATCTGAGCATTCTTCAGTCCTTCACGGTCGCTCCGAAGTCGGTCTTCGGCTATGGGAATGCTCGTCTACCCATCGCCACCAGCACCGACGTTTCATCACGGTCCACGTGATCAGCAATGCGCCGAAAGGACCACCCTGCTTCGCGCAGGCCGACAATCCGACCCCGCTCAAACTGGCCCAATTGCTTAAAGGACGAACGAGTGCGTCGCCGTGGCACATTTAAGCCCCGACTAGACTTTATTGCAGTGGACAGTGCCTTTGAAGTCACGGAGTAAATGGTATGTAATGGTATTTCACCCGGTTTCAGTCATCCGTGAAATGTTAAACACGGCTTCAACTAATCCCCCTATCCCCAACGTCCGTTATCGCCTATTTGAATGCTCGTGCCCTTCCCGGCTTTTCCGCCAGTTTATTTATCCCGCCGAGATTAACGTGTGTCATTAGGAGGATAAGTATTTTTGGTTGTATCTCTTGGTAAGACAAGGTTGTTACGCTTCGAATTATATTTTATGGGATGATAGGATGATGATAAAGGGTGAAGTGACAATCACCATACGAACATACCATACGAGTATGCCTACGTAGGTCTCGAACCTGCAGCCTCCTCGGCGCAGACAACGGCTGCCGCAATCGCTTGCGCCACGGAGGCGCCTTATTATTATATTTACACCCCAGGGGAGTTAGCCCTAGGGGATGCAATTGTGATGATGATGATGATGATGATGATGAATGATCAAATAGGCACATATAAACATACAGAGACACACAACACAACCATGTCCGAGGCGGGACTCGAACCTACAATCCTCTGGACTACTGCACTGCACTATTGCCTTAGCGATATCGGCCATCATATCGGCTTTTATTATTATTATGATTATTATGATTATTATGATTATTATGATTATTATGATTATTATGATTATTATGATTATTATTATTATTACTTGATATGTCACAATGTTTTTCTCATTACAATGTGAAACCTTCCTCATCAGTTAAGTAATTCAGTTAATCATCGTGTAGGTTTAAATTGAATATGTGAAATTAATTCGGCCTGGCGGAGGAGCGAAACGAGAGAGCGAGGCGCCGGAAGAGGTGCGTGGGTGGGCGCATGGGTGTGCCTGGAGGGATGAGTGGGCGAGCACACACGTCGTCCTGCCTCGCCGTTGGAGTCCCTGTCCGTGTCGGTGTCGGTATCCGAGACGGTGCCTACGCTCATGTCGGGATGGAGGAGGCGGAGACAACTGAGGCAATACACATCGGGAAGCGTGAACGGAAAAGGGCGTTATGGGTCGTAGAAAAGGGGACGTAGTAAGGTAAAATAGGGAAAGCTTGCGGAAAACGGGCGGTAACATGACCAAAGCGAAGTCACAGGGAAAAGGAGCTGCGGCTCTAGATGCACGGGCAACGCGTATCGATATCGTATCGATAAATGTGTTGGTTCATACCAATAATTGATCCAGATATCGTCTGTAACCAAGATTTTGCCAATCCGGACAGCTGCGATTTGCTGAGGCAGGCGAACAGAGGCGATCTCGATCCGAGGAGTCGAGGATTCGAGTACGGTTAGGCATGGCTGTTTCCACGGAATGGTTGTTTCCACGGGCTTTCCATTTCTCTATCGCCATCTTTCGAACCGTATCCTTCCTATCACCGCCTGCCTTGGGGATGTTTCGGGCTTGCGTTGGAGGCAAGAACACTGGAACCTAATCGGTGCCATTCCCTGATCATGTGTGTCGCGACATGATGCGGCAGACTCCACCACCGTGTATTTCCTGCTAAACTCTATTTTTAGCCTGCCAGACAGATACCCTCGCCCACAAACGCCTAGCCTAGCCGAGATACCCCAACGGGATACCCCGGGAGCAGTAGCGTAATGAAATGAATGCGGGCTCGCCTGTAAAACGTTTATCCGGACCCCCTTTAGGAAAGTGTACAGCAAACACAAGTAGTGTTAATACCTTTAATAATAAAAATATTTGTTAACAAAATTGGAAATTAATTAGTCAACGATTAATAACCAATAGTGAAAAATCTGCCTTTATTATTTAATTTTATGAAATTAAGAGACTTGTATAACCCAAATGAATTGCTTACATCTATTGATTTAGAAAAAGTGTTACACAAGCTATCGAAGGGGGGAAATCGTTCTTTAGGGATATACTGTTTTTAATCTTTTATTGTATCAATTATCACAAAGTATTAGAGAAAGTATCAAGTAATAATATTTCATACATTCGCAAAATGTACAGCTTAAATGTAAGCCCTCTTTTAACTGGGCCCGCCCACATTCCGGTCTTTGGGCCCGAACGTTACGCCACTGCCCGGCAGCTCCCACTTATTTGAACAAAAAAAACTAGTGGCTCTCCGACAGCACGTACTTTCTAGCGATATTGTTAATGGTTATGTATTATTAAAATATGTCAATTTATATCTGACATTTCAACTACCATTTGAAAAATTCCAATTTTTATTCAAACGTTTAAAGAAAAACAGCTTTCTGGCATTGAATTTAGTGTATTCACGTTCTACATAAATGTAATAACGATGTCCCATGTGTTTTTTAGTCGTAAATAACATTATTATTTTATATTAACGCGAAGTAACGGCGGCCGGCATTATCGCGTTCTGTTATAAGTGCAATTTAAAATAGATTTAATTATTAAATAATATTAAACGTAATACGCCTTTTCAGAATTCGAATGACAGCCACCAAGCTTCTAATATTAAATTTATTAATATTAAGTTAAATTTTGAGAAGGAATTTTTAGAATATTCAACTGTCTCTGCATCTCAAATTTATTTTACAGACTGACACCGCATTCAACGAAGAGCTGGAAATTCGAATTATATCAAATTCTTTTCCAATTTACGCAAAAAATACATTTTTGAAAAATTGAACATGATCTTATTAGAAGATCTGTTTTTATTAACACATTTCATTAAGGAAAAAATGTTATCTTATTGTGGGAAATTGTAGTTGTGGGAAGACGTCGAAAACGAGTTGCAACTTTTGCAAATACATCAATACATTCAAAATGCAAATATATTCTTGAAAACAGGAACAAAAATATGAATTACACTGTTTTTGCTACTCGAGAAACCCTAATTTGGGTGTGCTGATTTCCGATCTGAAATTATATTTTTTACCACGTTTTTTAAGAAAATAGCATTTTCATCCGTTTATTTGCATTGTGAAATGATGATGAGATCAAATACTAAAGTAGTTGTCTTTTTGATGATTTTGTTTGTGAGTTGTTTAAACAGTTTGTCGGTGAGGACTTTCTTTCCATTGTTAATTTTCCACTGAAGCGTGTGATTTTATGTGATTTCAAAAAATAACAGAAGTGACATTTTGTAAGCTGTTCTATGCCCATCGTAGCACTGAATTGTATGTAAATATGTTTGCAGCTATGCATTAGGGGGAAGCTATGCATTAACAGTAAAAAGATTTGAGTTAGAGAAGGAACTTTGGAAGTGACAATGATCAAGTGAATAATGGAAGGAATTGGAAGGAGATGTAGAATAGTAGGTGGAGGTGATGAGAACAAAAGAGGATATCTTGAAGGAAGAGGGGAAATTTATGGATATGTGACGTTGTTAGTGGTGGATGAGGGAGAGGAAGGTGAGGACTTTGTCGAAGGTGGAAGAAATGTTGGAAGATTTAGCTGCGTTGATATATGGGAGTAGTGTAAAATGTGGAGAAATTGGAAAGAGGCATATCGCAGGAGAAGATGCGTGAGGTGTCATGGCAAAACAACGGTGAAGCAGAGTTTGTGAAGCAACATGTGTTTAAAACATTATGATTCCTAAAGCAATCTACATAATACATTTACGTCCGAGGCGTTGATGGCGGAGGCGTTTGAGCCAGCGGGAGGGACGGCGACGGCGGCGGCGGCGCACATGTCCACTTGTCACTCGATCGCCTTGCTGGGGCGCAGACGAAGCCGAGGCCGCGAGACGGAGCGGAGTTCCGCGCCTCCGACAAGATGCAACAGATTACACGTTACGCTACTTGCACCCCATATGGGGCGTTTTTATGCGGCTCAGGGACTCGCCGCTGCCCGTCTCCGGTACAAACCGCGCCAAATCTCAGTACACGGCCTCTGCATCCTCCCCTTTGCCCGTGCCCCTCCATTCCGTAGCACGCGTGCGAGACTACTCGGCGATCCTAGCGGTGCGGTACGTCGATCCTCCGACGCCCGTCTCGATTTTCGATTCGGTTTGATTTGTTTAGTCACAGAACAGTAAAATCCCGAACCCCTTCCCAACATTCTAACTATAAATGGTTGAAAGATGAATAAACGTTAAAAAACAAAGTAAAACCATCGAAAAAATAAAAAAATTAATTATATATAATTTAAAAAAGTTCGATATTAACATTTGAAAAACTAGACAATTTCGCTCCCCAGCTACAGAAAAATTATTTGCCTCAGTAAACGGACAGCACATTTATTTTTTTTTTGTATTTCTAGCGAAATAGAAACACCCCCGCTCTACTCCAACCACTCCAAGCAAAAAGAGAGCCCAACAAAACATGCACATAGTGAAGTTCCATTTACACACATTCTCTGGCTACGTGTCATGTTGCTCAGTCATTTTGAAGAGCGCCAACCAGATCGGCGAGAGGTGTCGCCAAGCATCTTCAGAGTGGGTCAGAGTAAAGATTCCTCTCAACTACAATTTGAATCAGCTCAATTGAGACAAATTAATTAAGTAGAGTTTTCTTTCGTGTTTTTTCAGTGCGGTTGCTTTACTTCTTGTTTTTTTCATCTCAATACTTATTGATCATTTTATACCTTACAGTGAGAATTAAAACTTTATAATTTCTCTTTACGCACCATTACATTTTCGCGTGTGCTGTTTGAAGATAGTAGAAACGTTTGGATGTCCAAATCCAAAAAAAGAAAATTATCGCAGTTAGGAATGAACATTTTTCCTCGATTATTCATCTCTACAGAAAATGTTATATAATAAAATGTTTGCAAAAATGTAAAATAGTTTAGTTTACGTTCATGTAATATTTATTTTGGGGAAAGAGTATTTTCCCAAAAAACACTCTTAATTTCTTAGTCTCCAAGAGTGTAATTGAAATATGATTTTAAGTATATCATAGAAGACTAAAATGTGGTTCTAGGAGGGTAAGTCAATAAGTAGCTGCACGTTCTAATAGTAGGATGTCTGTAGATTGACTGCACAACTTTGTGCACTTACCAACCTTAAGATGACATAGTTCACATTGTTTATGGTAAGTTTCAGCGTAATCCCAAATTATTTCCTTGGATTGTTGCGTCGTAAACATGTCTGCACCACTCTCCGTTTGCACAAATAACACGCTTTTATAATTATTTTTTTGCGTTCTGAATGTATGAAATGCTGAAATCTTTAAAGGTAATTTCTAACAATTATTTAAAATTCTAAAACACGGCTCCAAATGTTTCCTTTAAATTTTCAACTCGTATGTATCAAAGTACGATAAAAAATTGCAACTGGTGCATTATCGGCCAACTCTGAGTTTCGAAAATTGCAAAATAATTATTATTGTAAAGCCACAACATTAAAGATAGATGATTTTGTCTTATAGAAAAACTTTTCCAAACAATCAAAGCTTTAAAAAGGTCAAGAACAGTTCGGTTTTGAAAAATCGAAAATTTTTCATGTAAGTTTTGCATAAAGTTATTACAAAGAATAAAAAGAACATTCGAAATGGTTTCTTCAATTTTTTCAGCAGATACAACACGGAGCGCTTAAAAGAATGGCGCAAGTTTCATTTTCGTTGATCACTCTGAATTTTCATCGGCGGTTGATCGCGATATTTATCAATGCGATGTATTGCTGTACATCTGATATGATGACATAATGAGATACAAATTCAATTTTCCCATTGGAAGAGACCATTCTTATCTAGTAAATTTGGGATCTCTTAGATATTTGCTCAGCAAACATTCACTGACATCAGCCAGGATCAAAACCGTAAACATAGGAATGAAATTACAATTTCTTTCTAGTCGATAGTATTGTCAAAAATTTTTAAAACTTATCTGCAAAATATCATTCGTGAACAGGAATACACTATGCATAATACATGGACTAACGCAGACGATATAAAATCTAAATGGCAAGACCAAATTGTTGCATTTAGTATTAGGTAGCTGACGCCATTAACCATTTTTAAAACTTACAAACTTAAGAAGACAGAAAAAAGTACAAAAGAAATGAGTCTACGTTCAGCTGAAATGAAATTAATGTTCCATTCATCGTTAAAATTCCATTCCCCTATTTTTTATTTGTTGGTCACGCACAGAGAACTTGGTGATGCTTATTCAGCGCTTGTCATCGCGGCCATCTATTCTCAGCCGAAATGAATCCCCATGCACTTCATTTGTCAGTTATACAGCCTTCGTGGAAGCAAAAAGTTAATGTTTGTGCTTTACTTTATCTCTACCCTCGACACCGATCTGGTCATCCCTTGAGACATTAAAACTGATGCAGCGGACATTGTGGTCCCGTGACATTGACTATTAGTAGTACGAGGAGTTCAGAGACTATTCGCAGCACGAATGTTACAATTAGTTAGATCTTGCACACAAAAAATCTCAGAGAGGTAACTCGTTCAGGTTTCTTCGATCTGTTGAGTAAATGCGGAGATCGCGCCTTGCATCGGTTCTGGACATAAACGTTTCTCCACCTGCGCACGATTTGGTACGCTTTCTGTCCTGATTGCAAGAAGAATGAAACTGTGGGTAATTATTTCGTTAAATATACTATCTAGTTTCTTCTTAGTTTTAGATTTTCTTTCTCCCAGGAGCGAAACATTCGAGTTTCCAATGTTGTCAACCACGCTCGGTGGCAACATTTCTCAAACTTCCACTGCATATAATGTAAGAGATGGGAGGGAGCTTAAGAAAACGTACGAAGACTGCACTTCTCCATACATCAGATAACATTTTGAACTTATTTTTGACTATCAATTAGTTGAGTTGAGATAATTGAATTTAAATTAAATTAAAAATACGTATATCGTTCGCCACTAACTTATATCAGAGTGGACAGGTTTCTTCTCAGTTTTCGTAAAACCAACACGTAAAGGTTCACAATTTGAAGAAAGAAACTGTGGGAAATGTAATTGGTGTAATGGACTTTAGGGCCATCTTTATGTGAAACGTTTATACTCTTTATCATATATCAACTTTTCTTTTGAGTCTCTTCTTGTGCTAATGAACTGTCACCAATGAATTGAAGTTATATTAATCGTGACATTGTATTAAAATGTTTTCCATATCTCCAATAATTGTTTATAAGATACACATTATATTATGCGATTTTATTTTATTCATTCACAATCAAAGATAGCTACCAACGGTGAAAAACACGAAACGTTTCAAATTAATTCGTGTTGCGAAATTAATTTTCCTTTGATGTATCTAAATGTATGCTTCTAATAAACAGAATTAAAATGTGAAATCTCGGTTAATGTAATTAATTATAGAAAACGTTTACTCTTACAGGGTATTTAATAACTGGAATGCACTTTAAATTTTGTGAATTTAATATGCGAGTTTTAATAGAAAATCAATGTAAAAAGTGTGAAAACATAAAATCCATTATATTTAGTAACTATTATAAACAATATTAACAATTATTGTTTCATTGATGTTATATTTCTCTATCCGTAATGTCTTATTTATTTACTACTCAAGTAAAACAAGTAAAAGAAGTTAAATGGAAAATGGAGTCCAGAAACATACTTGCTTCTTTTCGTTTTAGGCTGCCGTCGCCTATGACAATAATGACTTAAGAACAAGCTATGCGAGATCTAATGTGCACGGTGATGGAGAAGTTAGTGGAGTAAGGGACTGGCGAAATGGGAGTACTCCGAAGAAATATGCCAAGCCTACACGTTGTTCACGACATACTCCACATTGAGTGGTCGGGATTTGAACCCGACACTCACAGATGGAGTATGATCTGGCTGCTATTGTATCGCTAGGCATACGACCAGATGAAGGTATTTTTTTCGCATTTATTTTGCCTGTTTTGGTGCAATCCATCTGGCTGCACATTCCGAATTTTATCAACATGTGCAAATTAAGAAAAACTAAGGTAAATTTCGAAACTAACAATATACCCTATATGCACATGATTGCTGTCATTATTTTTCATTTTTTCTAAATTAAAAATGTTGCAAATATAATTACATAACAATTTCTCCTCTTTCTATATCTCAATGCATTAACAGAATCCGCGTAGCACATGCGTTTTGATTGAATTTGCTTGAGAAAGAGAACGAATTAGTGTGTTATTGGTTATTTACTTGATTGGTTATCTCTGTTGTGCGCTTGCGTGTTCGCAGTTGGTCGGTGCGAGCCACAGGCTCCCGGCACGACGTTGCTATGGAAACGGAACAGCGTCTTCTCCCGTCTCCCGTTCAACCGTCTCCTTGCTCCGTCTGGACTCCTTGGACTGGCGATCTCGTTCCAACCTGTTGCGTCGATAGTCAGAGGCTGCCTCTCCCACTGGTGAAAGACTGGAATCTGAGTGACTGAAGAGCTGTAGCAACTTCTCTTTAGCAGTATGAAAGCAGCAAAAGGAACAGTTCTCATGTTCGATTCAGGTTTGATACTTCAAATCTGTAATAATATAAAGAAATGTAATAAAAATACTCGTATAGGAAAACATGTATTACATAAATTTATTATATCTAATACATATATTATTATATGTATTAGTTAAAATACGTATCTTCTGTCTATCCAGTCTCGTGGCAAAGCAGTGAAGATTGTCTGTGTTATTGCATGGAAGTTTCTTGTAAATATAATATTACTAAACGCCATTTTCCTATTTAATCGTCATCTTAATAGAAAATAAGATCAGTAATGAAAACAAAAAACATTTGTTTTTCTGTTTATTATTAACATATCAAAATAGTCACTATCTCCAATGTACCAACCACTAACACTACCACCGCAGAGAAATTGCGCACAGCGGAATTGCGTTGTTTTGAGTGTTATCGGATCCTTCCTAAAATTCGGGTATTCCGATATGCACCTACCCCAATCCTCGACCCTTCTCCTGTTGCAAAATTGACACGACAATGGCCTTTTTCAGTTAAATATTGTAGTTTTCCTACAAAATTTATATAAACATGAACACTATAAACAATTGCAATTATACAAAAATACATTGCCAAACAAACTTTCAAAGGTATTTATTGCAATGTGAATGATATGAACCCAAACGATGCATTCGGTTGTTTGACTGCAAAGTTCGCTATGGGATCAGCCTCGTGTCACAGTTCATATTTTATAAACGTATAATGTATATTTTATATACGACGTGCGCTGGCACTGAAAATCGCACATATTTTGATGTTATGAACGTCATAATGATATGGGCATTATTGATTAATCATAACAGTATTTTCTTAGTCAGCAATATAACAGAAAATAAAATTATTTTTTAAATAAAACTGTAAACATTTATTTTAATTGTTTTTTATGCAAACAATTTTAGATATAACTACGAACATTTATGATACAGATTAACAGTAATATTTTTCCAATGCTTCATTATAACACCGGACGTTGACTCATATCTTGGAAACCTTGTAATTTCATCTCGCTTGGAAGTTCCAGGGGTAGATATTTCGCTCAAAATTCTTGATTGCATTGCTGAAACCGTGATGCAACACGTGTGAATGAATATTCTTTTATCTTAATCACGTATATGTCTGTGTGTATATTGGGCGAACAATGCCGCAACCTAGGGTCTATTGTAATTTGCCCTACTGATCTATCTTAGGGTTTCAGCTAGTGTGAGTAATTCTACATTTCCATACCGTCCACTCGTCTGTTATCAATCTCACTACTCTGAACTACTGGAATTATTACATAGTAGATATAACGTTCTACGATATTCGTATCGTAAATTCTTACAATCCTTAGTTTGTAAGTAGCCCATCATGGTCAGCGTACTAGCCCCCCGTGGTGCGATCGCCAATTCGATTCTCGGGATGGGGGCAAAAATAGAACTGTAGCTTTTCATTACAATCACCTCAATTTTTGTAGCTGTGTGACGAAATAAAATATCAAACAGTCCAAGTATGCTGCATAAGTGAAGAAAATTCAACATCTTCGCCACGTGTCTCCCTTACCCCCAGGAGTGTATAATAAATAAAAACACGGCCCGAGCCTGGAAACACCGCTAGCTGGCAAAGGTTGGATTAATCGGACCCTAAAATGCCAAATTCATGCATACATCCACACATTTCGTTAATAACTATTATACTCGTAGTTCTTTTCGGTTGGACAATGCTGGTGAACAGAACGGATTAATTCTGCTTGGGCTCGTCTTCGCATGGCTCGGAACTACATGTCGTCTTTCCATGTACTCATTTTCGATCTACGGCCGACCACGTCACTCATTTTCGAGCTACGGCTATCTCAGGGTTCTACGTAGTAAAACGTAGTAAGACCCGGAAGGCTTTTGCCGCGAGCGCCGCTGTAGGTAACTTGAAATTCAACATTAAAACCCATCGGTAGAGCCGCTGTCAATCGAGGGTTACTGTCACTCGCGTGGGACTCAGCGCCCCGCGAGTCGCTTTCTCCTGGCGCTGTCAATGGATTCAAATCGCGCGCGCCCACACCCACCCACACACATGTACATACACATACGTACACACATGCGCACATATATGAGGAACAAACAAAAACATACATACACATACAACAAAAGGCGAAGAGATTGACCAGAGATTCAAGCTTAAGACCTTCCGAACTAAGGGGCTGAATTCGTTCACGCTGTACACGACCCGGCTATGCACCTTCCAATATTTTCCGCATTTCACCCTTTCATTTTAATCTTAACAGCCTACTAAATTGTATTCCGGTTAGTGCACCGCAAAAAAATAAAAATCTTGAAAAACCGTTTCCAGCTCTCGAGGACTGCAGCGCTTCCGCTGTATAAATCTTCCTCGCTGCGTGGCGTGGCACGGCCTGGCGTGGCGTGGCGGCCAGAGCAAAAACGCGCAGACGTCTTATATAGCACCAGGCAGATACCTATATTTATATCGAAGAAAGTTAAGCGCGCACAAGTTTCGACACCTACATTAAGAAACCTTGAACCTGTCAGAATACAAATTGAAATTAATGGTAAAAATTTAACTACTACTGCAGGATATAAGCTCCAAAAGAAACCTTTAAGATTCACTCATACAGATATTCAATGGTAACAACCCGATATTGTTACTTGGTGATATCAACACTTAAAATATTGCATGGATTGTAACTCGGCATTGTCGCAAGGACAAAGCTACCAGATTTTGCAACGTAAAATAACAGCTTCAACTGAACCAATACTACTTCCAAAACGAACCAATAAGATATACATCAAACATCGTTCCGGGTACCTTAGATATAGCACTCACGAAGAAATAATATTAATCTTCCCATTCATCAAGTTTCACCAGATCTCTTCTCCTACCACTGCCCGATATCAATGTCTTTATGGGCTCAAATCGATAGAATCTATTCGATTATGAAGTAAGTGGAATCGAAAAACCAAACATGAGTACTATCTAATATCATTATATATTTACTCATAGTCAAAAGGATCAGTAATAATCGCGTCAATGAACAGTGGAGTTGATAAATCCTCCAAAGCAGCTATGGATGACATTCAACAGTCAATTCGACTCGTCGTTCGCCAACACTAAACCGATCCCAGTAAACATCCTAAATATTAAGTAAATAGAAAAAATGAGACGATGTTATCGAATTACTTGAAGGCCAGAACGTCAAAACGAAAGTAAATAAGTTAACAGGGCTTGTTAAAACTAAACTTATTTGGTAAATTACGTTTTTCAAGTTCAACAATTATATAGCAGAATTCACCAAATCGAGTCACCTCTAGTCATTGTCGTGCCCTAACCAAAGAAAAAGCAAACGTCTCACCTGCTGAAAATAGGAATGAACCGAAATTACTCAGACGAGGATAAGTCATTGGTAACGGCGGGAACCTTGAAACTACCTTTAAACCTCACCTGGTGACAAACGTACCATTTAACATGGAAGTCGAAAATTTTGTCAACTATACTTTTCCAACCGCCGCACCTTTTACATTAAATTCATTGTTCAACCTGAATTTATACCTCAGTTTTCATTTAAACAAATTATTCCGCCGCGAACAGCCGTCGAGTGCGGACCAGAAGCTACGATAGCTAGCGCTCCTGGTCTCTGCGGAGTGCTGTGGAATTACTCACAGTGTTACACGTTAGTCTCTCTAGTGAACACCGAAGTGGCAGTGCGCCAGCAGGCCGGGCAGGGCTTCGCTTCTGGCGGCCACAGCTCGACCACCTCATGGAGAACGGCCTTCCTCTTCACCTAGCGACGCTACAGCTCATATCATCAACAACGAATTTCATTGCAGTTTTCAAACTCAAGTGTCGACCCGCGCAAGCGACATATTCCCGAGAATCGGACCGGTGTCGCTAAAAACGATGGCCACCAGCATAATAATACAGGCTTGTCCTCATTTCCATCTGTAAGTATGTATAACCGCTTCCCTAAAGTTAGTAAAAATCGATAGCCGTGGAAGACATGATTCCTATTCAAACGCAGCTCATACATTCCAAAATAAAATCCTTCGCACTGCCGTCAAAGTGCCTTGGTTACTATCTACTCCACGAGAGTTTGTTCTTCTCACGATTAAATCATTATATCAGTCACCAATCAAATACTTTTTATTTCCTTTATCATCTTCCCTGCAAACTTCCACATTCAATCTAGGAAAAACCTGTAACAAAAGCAGAGAATCAAATCAGATTACCAAAAGATATATTTAAACCGCCTTAAGAAGAAAAACATGATTTTCCCACAACTTACTTTCTGTAACTTTTGTCTTCCTGAAATTGTCAACCCCTAGTTTCCCATTTCATCGCTACAATAACCTGATTATTGAGGTTTCCATTGGGAGTATCCCGCTCTCCTGTTGTGACTCTGTTAGTGCGTCGCGTGCTAAGTTGCAGTTCGATTCTTTCTATAAAGCGAGTGCCTCTGTCTGTATGTGGCGCGACAGCCCGTGAACGCGCCAGGGCCTACCAGCAGCGTCCCGGCCTCGCGGCCATGGGTTAAAGGGGTGCGTGTGGTTAGCACGAAGGCATCCCTAAGCCGCGTTCTGGTCTTCTCCACCTGAGAAGTGAGTTTTCCATTGTCACACAGCAACATACACTGTGATATGACAAAGAAAAAAGCACAATATAATCTTGCCCAACCAGGAATCGAACCCGGAGTTGCGTCATGGAAAGCTAGCACGCTGACCAGTGAGCGTAACGCGAGAGCCTCATCGTTATATTGAGAAAATGTGAAATAAAATTAAAAAAAACATCAACGAAATTTGGTTAAGTAAAAAACTCACATTTCATTCTAAATAAAAACCGTAGGTTTTAAATGTAAAGTTATGTACTACAGTTATTTAGCAGCAGATTATATAATTTAGTAACTTAAAATAAAATATCGATAGCTCAGTTCATTGAGAATAATCATTCAGATCTAGGCTACTGTAAGCGTTATCAAGAACATTGGCTATATGCTCCTACCCTACGGGT